AAGAAACAAATGAATGGTTGGAGGGTTCAGAATTAGATCATTCATTAGAAGAAATAACTAAAGATTATCCTGATTTATTAAAAATCATTTCTTTTGATGACACAGATATTAATGATTTATTTGCAGAATTTGAAATATTGAAAGATTCATATAAAGAAGATGAAAATTATATTCGTACATTACAAAATGGAATTCAGAATTTAAAGTAATAATAATTATATCTACTTTTATTCAGATAAATTTAATTCTTTGTAATATTAAATTTTTCTAATATTGTTATATTCTTGGGTTTATTTTATCTATATCATTTTTTTTTAATGTTTTAAGCTTTTGAAATTCTTAAAAAAATTCAAAATTATTTATTATATTATTATATCTATTTCATTATTCAATAGATTTTTAAATCTATTGATAAATGATCTATTGATTTTTAAATCTAATAGATTTTTTATAAGTATACATTTTTCTTAATAATATTCAAATAAAAATGAAAATATTTAAAAATAAAATTTTATTCATATAAAATGAAAAAATAAACTCAAATGAATCCAAATATATATAATATCTATATATCTATAAATATATATATAATATATATATAAATCCAAATATATATAAATATATATGGACAGTTAATGTCATATAAAATAATGTACTATTATAGAAAATTAGAAATAGAATTAGATAACAATATAGAACAAGAAAAACAATTATTAGATAGAGAAAATATTGAAGCAGATAAAGCATATAAAGAATGTTTTGTGATTTTAAAAGATTTTGATATACAAAATCATAAATGTTTTAAGGAAGTTGAATATCTTTTGAATGTTTATGCAGATGCAGCTGAAAATGTAAGTAATTTTTGAAATCTTTTTATAATTTATAATAATAATATTATTATATTTGCAGAAAGGAATACCATTATTATGGACTCAGATGCCATTAGAATCTTTTATTAAAAAAATAGAAATGTATAGTCATTATTTAGATGTTCATATAAAACGACAATTTGAAAATATATCAGAGAATGAACAAAAAATTGATTCTAATTATGTTTCTTCAATTAATGATACTAAAGAAAAAGACATTGATAATAGACAAGAATTGACACTATATAAAACAAAGTAATTATATATTAATTATTATAAATATTATTATAAGTAAAATTCTTCATATTTATATTTATTAATTCAAAATGATTATTTTATCTTATAGATTAACTAATGCAAAAATAGAAGAAATTTTAGCAAAAATACAAGAAAAATCATATATTGCAATGTTTGATTGCATAAAAAATATATATAATTTAGGAAATTTGAAAATACCAAATCAATCTGAATTAAGGTATTCAAAAATTCTTTAAATATAATCATTTCATGTTTATTTTTTCAAGTATATTGTATTTTTTACATATTTAAATTAGAACAGAAATTATAAAATTAACTAAAAAGAGAGATTTCTTAGAAGAAGAAATTTTATTACAAGAATATCAATTATCAGAAATAGTGCAACAATTCTCAGAATTAGAAATAACTAAAGTTTTAAAACAAGATGCTCATATACGACTTGAACAAACAAAAAATCATTTACAAAAATTAAAAAATCTTCAATTTTTTGCACGAGAGCATGGTCATGTGCACACTGATTTGTTACGAATATTAATGGAAATGCAGTTTCATTGTCTTAAAAATGTTTCTGAATTTGTAGCTGATGTTTATCACTATTTAAAAACAGAATATTTGTTATCATTTACAAGATGTGTGAGTAATTAATAGATAATAATAATTAATAAATTTTATATTATATTATATTATTAATAAATTAATTTATAATTATATTATTAATAAATTAATTTATAATTATATTATTAATAAATTAATTTATAATTAAATTTTATTCATATATAGGAAAGTATGCAACAACTGCAAAATGAATATTCTGCAACTATATTATCTTCATCAAAAATACATAATTCATTCCATAAACTTTTTATTTCAATGTTATACAATAATGATAATATACATCAATTAAATCCAGTATTGGATAAATACAATGATCTTATAGATGAAAATAAAACTAAGAAACAATTCATATTGAAAACATATTTGAATTCAAAAATTCAAAGATTAGAAATATTGTAAGTAATAATTTTTTTTTATTTACATTATATTTTAATATACATTTAAAAAAAGTGTTATAATTATTAAATTATTATAATATTTAGAGAAAATGAAATAAATTTGCAATATTTAAATGAAATTCAAAAAGGATCTACTCGTACATTTAAACCAATTACTTATGAAATTGAAACATGTTATGATGAAACATTTGATAATTTACAGAAGATACAAAATGATTTATTGAAAATAAGAAATCAAATGACAGAACGAAGGGTAAATTAATATATTTACAATTTATATTTATATATTTATTATTTTTTGTACAATTTAAATTTTTATTATAGAAAGCGGATATAGGTTTTGAACGAGAAAAAAATATTCTTTGGCAACGATTTTTAGTTGATCCTGATACATTAAGAAAAATATATAAAGAAATGAAATCTATAGGAAATAAATCTTGTTTTAGTGATTAAAAATTAATAAAATATGTAATAATTATATTATATTTAATATTATTTTAATACTTATAAAAATTTATTATTATTCTATTCTAAAATATTGTACAAATAAATTAGCTCTGTTTTTTTAAACTTTTCTATTGAAAATTAAAATATCAAATTTGTGATAAAAGAATATGGATTAAAATTTTTTTTCCAAAAATTTAAAAAG